TTCTCAGGTAGAGACATAAGGCAGGTACTTAAACAAGAAGATCAAAGTGATGATGAGAAGGAAAAGGAAGAGTAGGTGAAAAAGAAGTTCTAATGGATTTTATGAACTTGATTCATATATGGTTTCATTCATAGGCAACAAGTTTCTTCAGTTCATTTATGGCTTCTGATTTGTTGAGGGGAATTAGAGAAAGATCCAAAATATCACTCCATTACACGGGTCTGAACATATAGAAATGGGGTGGTTGGCTTAGGAAGTTAGGCTCATGGTTAGCCCCTAAAATCAATCATGACAAGTAAAGAAAGGAAATTTGAGGATGAAAATTAGTCCATCCTATCTTTCTTCTTCATCTTTCCATCATGAAACCCTTTAAAATCACTCACTTTTGCAAAAATCATCCTACTTGTCTCTATACTTCTTCAAAATGAATTTTTTAAACTAATTGTAGCTATCAACTAGAACTAATGTCATTTAACAGAGAAGTTTAATTATTTGCTTCTCATTTTATATTTGTCACATATCATAAAGCTAAGACAGAAGAGAAGCATATCCCACGCTGTGGGCGGTGTGGTTTAGCGGTCTAATGAGATTGCACCATGACTTGAGTTAAAACTCATTGTCATCCCCTTCCCTACTCCAAAAACTACTTTTGTTATAATTAATTAACAGATCAAAGCCAGAGAGAAAAGTTGGGGGATTGGAGGAAAGGCAGAAGAGGACAGAAAACAAGAACAACATTCAACACAAGTCCTGAAATATTTGAAGGATTATTAAATATAAGAAGTGGGATCAAGAGGAGGGAATGTTTCATGAAAGAGGGTCAAGATCCATGTCAATACCCCACCACAGATGATTAATTCTTCTTCGGTCATGACAGGACACATGCCCACTAGTCAATTTGTTTATTTACTTATCATCATCCCCTTGAAAGAAGGACAAATGGACCTTTCCGCTCAAAAAATCTATATTTTCTCTACGGTGGAAATTGCATGATATAATTTTCAAACCGAATGAGAGTTCTTCACAAGTCAATGAAAAGAGAGATGGTCATCCAAGGCACAACCCCAAACAATTCCTCTTTTCTTAATAGTGATTATAAACTCCAAATCTATCAATGACTAGATTTTTTTAAAATATGTATATTTTAAAAAAGAGAAATATTAAAAAAAAAATGATGGGTGTGAAATCAACAAGAGAATGTACACATTACGTGCTCTTAAAATTAGTGGGAAACACTTGATATGATATATAGAATGTAACTAAAGTTAAATGAATTAAATAAATAATTTTTAGGGTTTGAAATTTTTGGGATTCCAAGCACAAACCCAAAATGATTTGAGCATAAATGATAGATATAGAGCTTATGATTATAAAAAATAAATAAAACAAAAAGCAATAGAGGGGGATGGTAAGGGTAACAAGAATTTATAGAATTTACAAAGTTGGGTGCAAAGATTTGAAATGATAAAAAAAATACATTACTTATCCATTAATTTATAGACCTTACTAGAATAAGAATTAAAAAAAAAATAATAATTTAGAGTTGAATTATTTCTAGTCATCCTATTAAAATGTGATTTCCATAAGCTCTTGTCTTTTTGGGCAGCCAACTTTTTGAAAAGAAAAAGAAAGGATGGCCAATGGTCTTTCCGGCTATTATACGGATTTGCGTAGTTCAGTCCAGATATGATCTTAGTGGAATCTTAGGTGGTCTTATATGAAAATATATGTATGATGAGTGGGTTGGAGCCTCCATTTTTTAAATAAAAAAAAAATTAATTCGAGTACAACGTACTTATCCCGAATGTATTTCTCTAATGTTTTTCTAGGGGTGGAAGTATGATTAGGGGTACAGGAGAACCGATTAAATTAAGTTTATGATTTAAGTTTTATCATCAATCTAAAAAAATTAATTTTTTTAAAATATATTTGATCAATGTACTCATGAGAGTGTATTCTTAAATTCATTTGAGAAAGAGATTAATAAGATATATGAAAAATGATTCAAAAACATATTAATAGTAAATACCAAAAAAAAAAAATTTCTAATGTTTTTTTTATATGCTTTAGATATATGTAAGTGGTGTGGCCAAAGTATGACCTTATTCCATACCTAGTATTGTAAGAAAAAAAAGATTTTTTGTTTGAATATCTCATTTAATGATTTTTTTTACTCTATTAAAA